GGGGGGGTGTCTTGGTGTGAGGTCTGGGGCGCAGACTGAGAACACGATGAAGTTAAAAACTTCCTATTGTGCATAGTATAACCCTCTCTGGTATAACATGCATACAGCTGAGACAGATTGGTAGACAGGCGGTCAAAAAATGGAGCTTCAAAGAACAGCGCACAATGACCGTGTTGTTCTATCATCAACCATGCGTGTTGCTCTGCTGGATTTAGAGCCCATTCGTTTCAGGGTTGTCTGACCTGTGATAAACTGGTTTGTGCGATCTGTTTGGAGTGTAAACGTTCCGCCCATTCTGAGGCTGGCGATTATTCTCAGCCGAGACGGCGATTGTGACGGTTTTTTTAAAGTAAAAAATAAAAGGGGGTGGGGGGGGAAGAAGGGGAAGGAAGCATTCAAAGCCTTCTCGGACGGATGTCTCACCGCGTGTCTGTCTGTGATAAGGGAGGGGTATGGACGGATGTTGGAGGAAAAATTGAATTGAAAGAGCGCAATTCGTTGCTATTATCTTTAATTCCTTTTTTTCCCCTTCAAAATACGTTTTAAGTACCGTACATGTCTTTGTGGTTCAATTTAAGTTTTCTTTTTATAATGGAATTGTCTCATTGGATTTTTGTTTGTTCTCTGTGTCGTTTGGGCTTTGGGTTATTGTTTTGTTGTTGTTGGTTGTTTGTTTTTGTGTTGTTTGTTTTGTTTTGTTTTTGGGGGGGAGGGGGATTGTTCTTTTATTGTTGGGTTTTGTTGTTGTTGTTTTTTGGGTTTTTTAATTTAGTTTAAATATTTTTTTTTTGGGGGGGGGGGAGGCTATCCTGTTTTTTATTTGTCTGATGTCTACTTAATAATCCACCTCCTGAAAATGACTTTTGACCTGTTTGTCCTTGAATGTGTTTCAGATGTGGGAATCACAGGCAAACCATAACCCTGGAACATACATCTATCCTTCTTTATGCATGATTCAGTTGTTGTGCCCGTGTATGCATTCCGGACGTTTTGTAGGCGTAGTTACGTACCCTACCTAATGAAAGAATGACACTGTTTCACAGTCAAGTGTCACACGACACTGTTTCACAGTCAAGTGTCACACGACACTGTTTCACAGTCAAGTGTCACACGGCTTGTCAGTTTATGCTGTTTTCCCACTTCAGCCTCTCCTGTGACATGCGTATCGATCCCTTTTTATTGTTTTGTCGCATCCACTTTGAAAGTACAAAGTACTTTTATCTGCTCCTAGCCGGGTAAATTGAAGAACTGAAGGTAAAGTTCCTTCATTAGGGTATAATTTCCTACAAAATCTATCTGAGAGTCAAACCAACTATTTTAGTTACAAATGAGTCAAATAGCTTTCCTACCATACTAACAACCTCTTGCATAACTGGTCTCTATCACTCTATCACTTGTTTCGTATGAGAGCTCACAGAGATTTTGTTTGTACAGAGAACTTGCTCTGATGACTCGGTGCAAGGAGAGTTTAGGGTAGTTACTGTATTCTGAGACTCATTTTTGCATCTCGTAAAAAAGGTTGGAGTGAAGGGGGTGGGTGGTTGGCGGGTGCTTTGGTGTGGTTTGCTTCTTCTTCCCTACCATACATCTGTTGTCCTTATCTCGCCTCCTTCCTTTTTTTTTTTGTATGTGTGTGACTGTCTGCTTGTAACATCTCTAATTTTTGACACTTATATGACGTAATTGTGTTGCAAGTGCAGTAAAACGCTTACTAAAATTAAAACCAGGAGTGATGGGTTTTTTGTTGTCGCCTTCTTGAAACTAGTTGTATTTCAATTCTCTTTCTGAACTACTAGTGTAACTACTACTATTGCTTTGTATGGAGGTGGTTCAGTCTATTCAAAACACATGTCCAATGTGTTGGGACATGCTCTCATAAGGAAAGTATGATACTGTTTGTGATGGGAACACTTATATTATATCACCTCTGTTGTTCCTTTGGTGTTTCTTTATATAAATTGAAAACATTGTGTATGTTCAAAGTCTTTATTTCTTTCTTCACAGGTCTGAGGCAGAGCATGTTTACGCTAAGAGTCTAAACAAGTTGGCTGCTAAATTGTTGAAAGCATGCAGCACTGGAGTAGGGTAAGTGTGAAATTTTCAGGTGTTTCATTTTGCTTCTTGATATTTTGTAGGCTTTTCGCTATTTTTACAGTTATACTCAGGAGACTGTTCTTCTCCTATAAAAAAGAAAAAGTAAGGTTACTTGGATTTACTTGGATCCAGAGCTAGAATCATAGCAGGCGGCACATGTCCATAGCTGCTCATCTCTCCTTTCCAGTGTCCACCTCAGGGTCTTCCTGCTAATTGTCTCCATGAGGAGCTGGTTTGAGACACGCCTGACCACTCCTCGGAGCAAACTTTTTTTCGCTGTGCCCCGCACACACTTTTCTTTTATTGTGCTGAGTGTGTGGGAGTCTGACTCCTCTTGGTTGTGAAGGCTCTCCTTGCATCTGGCGATCACCATTGGTGGATGGAGCATGATTCGGCCATTGGGTGCTGCTTTGTCGGTAAGTTCATCAGCACGCTCATTTCCGTGCACCCCGGCGTGACCAGGGCAGAACACCCATGTAATTCTTAGGAGGTGGCTATTTGCAATGGAAGCTCTCCAGTCACTGTAGAGCCACCCACTCCTGATTTTTTCTCGGGTGCTCATCGAGTCTGTGACAAACAGGGCATGTTTATTCGCTTCCATGTAGGGTTACAGCATCTTAGTGTTGTACTTCCTTCTCTTTTCTTTCACTTCAGTTTGTGGCATAGTTTTCAATAATATTTCTTACTGTGTAATTGATTCAGGTCATCTCGGGCTTACTGAACAGCAGTGTTGGCAACCTTGGTTCAAATCCTCAATGAAGCATTCCTAAATTGTGGGTGTTTCTGGAGTTTCTTTTTTTCTCTTCTCTCTTGCCTTGATCCTGAGTGAATTGGATACTGAATTGTAGATCATAAATAAATTTATTGTCTTGAAAGGAATGTTATAGGTTCTTCCTTTTCAGCACCACATAGACCATCTGAACCCTTTGTTCATTGTGTGTCTGTGCTATTCTTCTACTATATTTCTTTCTCCTTTTAATATCACCCTGCAGTCTTTATTATGTAGAGCATCTCAAATCTGACATCTCGATATAATATGCTCCTCTTTACTGTGTTTCTCTCAGCTCACTCACAGAAGGCTGGAAGACAGTGGGCACAGCCATGGAGCAGGAAGCGGAGCTCCACAAGTGAGTCCTCAAATTTAACAATTTTCTCAGATAATGTAATGGTCTCTCAACACACAAGTGAGCTCAAACGAAAATAGTCCTCTGTCGACTGTGTCCTCTTTTTGATCAACGATAAGAGTACTATCTTTGAAGGATTTTAAATGAACCCATCTGAATTTTTGTATGCAATCCACGTTCTCCAAACATTAGTGAGATAAAAGGAAACAAATTTATTGGTTGTTTGTAAGGCGTATAGTTGGCAGCCATGGTCCTGACTGGACGGGCAGATGACAAAGATGTCAAACAATAGTCGACTAAAACCCCACCAGCTTTTGCAAAACGAAAATGAATTAAGAACTTTTTTGTTCCTTTTCTCTCTAGTGTTTTGGGGTTTTGAAAATAAATTAAATGAACCTGATGATAACGTTTATGCTTTAATACCTTGAAATATGCGTGATTGATTTTTCTTTCAGCTGCTTCATTCCTTTCACTTGTGTCATACCCATGGGTGCTGCTTTGAATGTTAGTTTGTTTAAAGTGAGTGAAATAAGGGACCCTCCTGGAACTGATTAACTTTTTTGAGGGGTTTTTTCGTATTCATGCATCTTAGAATAGTGTGTTGTTCTGTGAATTTAAATATTTTACCCCTCTGACATTGCAGTAGCAATAAGTCTATATCCCAAAGTCAAAGAACTTTGATGCACTCAAAATGAATTGAAAAATTTCTCTCCTTCTTTTTCCTTCAGAAACCTTGCTGGTGGTCTGCTGGAGGACATAAGCAAACCTTTGAAGGGGTTTGTGGAGCAGCAAGGGAAGGCTCGCAAACCTGTAAGTTTTTAACTAGCTCTTCAGAGTAGAGCTTAACGGCCAACACGATCCCAACTGACTTTAATGGCTCTGTCTTTTTTCTCTTTGTTTCTGTGTAATGCACAAGCATGAAACACAGACACACTCATTGACACACTGAGCACCACGTATGGTCAGCAACTTCTAAAATGGTAGACACTTTGCATCTCGTAATTGACTTGGCGCAAATCAGGAATCAATGCTCCCAGTCTTATCTGCATTATTCTAATCGAAATTGTTTATTATTGAAAAAGAAGATATTTTTACTGTTTCTTTGATTCTTGTTTAATGTTATTTTTGTTGACTTTCATGGAGTTTTGGTCTTTAAAAAATTAGTGTCTACTTAATTGAGGAGGCCTATGTTACACATATGTTTTTCCTCATCCATAGAAAGCAAAAATGAACAATTATCCCCTGTGTCCCAAATGTCTGTCTTTGAAGAGGGGCCTGTCACACCCAGTACATGGATTTGAACTTATAAGGAGAAAAGTATGAGTTCTTCTCTTGTCCTTTCGACTGGTAGATCCACCCTCAGTATCTTTTTTCCTGTTTCTCCACATCACTCCTCTGTATGTTCAAGCCATGTCGGTCTCTCTCCTTTCACTTTGTGAATCATCTTGCATGCTTACTTGCTGTTCATTTACTGATCCCTTAACTATTTGAAATTGTCCCCAGATTGAGCTGATGGTGGACAAGTCTTATAAAAACATCATGGACCGGAGAGCAGATGAGTTTAAGGTGATTGACCATCAATTATTTTTTTTTACAGTTTAAGGTGATCTAGGGGAAAAAAAGTACTCTTTATATATTGCTGCTGGAAATTTAGTAAACATTGGTGTACTCATACATTCAAAGCCTATGGTATCATAGAAGTATATTGCTAAAATCCCTTGTTTATAGATAAAGGACATTTTATACTTTACTAATTGTATAACCTGCTTCTGAATGATTTAGTACAGGTAAAGAACTAGATTTTTCTACAGTTGTTAATAGACAGGAGATCTGTTTGTATTTCAGTCAGTTGCTAGCCAATGTCGGTGCCATATTTTCAAGCATCAAAAATCCGTTTATTATCTTAATCTTAAATAAAACTGCATGAGGACCCTTTTTATAAGACTAACAACTTTTTGGGGTTCTTTTTCCGAGTTCTGGTTCATAAAAATGACTGCCTATAATTTCTTGTTCAATTTGTTTACTGTTCTGATGACTTAACATTAATGCAAGTTTGCGTCACCAATGTCCTCCAACCCATAAGGGGTGTGTCAAATCAGTAAGACTCCTGATAAGAGTAATAACTGTTTGTTTCTCCAAATTGAGGAAAAGAACAATAAGAAATTATGGCTGTTTACGTTTGATATGGGAATTTTGTTGATTTATCCAAATTCATTTTGTAGGATTCATTTTTTTAAAAATATTTTTCTTTTGAAAGATATTTAAAGATGATGGCTGATTACTCCTGAAAATAAACCCCACAGTGGATTGATATGTTTACTATTCAATTTTCTGTACAGTCGAACCTGTGTAAGACGGAATTGCAAGGGAGTGGGGGGAAAATTCCGTCTTAGACAGGGGAATTTGGTGTTGTGGCGGGGGGGGGGGGTTCAAAGGCCCAGCCGGTGGGATCAAGGATTGCTTGTCCGATCGGCAAGCACTGGTCAAAACTTCACACCTCTCAGCTGCTTTCCTGTCTGATAATGACATGCGTCAGTCTTACTTATCCAATTACTACCAGTGCTTGTCTTTCATAGGACCACTGTCCGACCTATTAAAAACAGAAACGTTTGAATATCTCCTTTGCTTCCAGACTTAGTCCCACCCAACTGTCTCTGGTCCCACCCACCAATGCCACCCCTCACTGCCATCATTGTAACAACGATTCGAGGAACTCTTTTCTCGGTTGGCCATACAATCAGGGCGGCAGGCATTGGTGAATCTAATTTCACACCTCTGACTTCTGGCTACCAAAGGCTTTTTGTGATTTTTTTCCATATTAGTAATGTGTGGGTTCTGTTGTTTCAGAGCAAGAAGCACTCTTACTCTTGCTGCAAGGAATATGAAAAGGCAGAGTCCTCAGCAACTGATGCTCGAAATGCTGGCAAAGGCAAAGATGTGGGCAAGGTAATAACCTTTTACACTTTTGGTGTCAATATTGTATTATTAACTTACTTTCTTTCCATATTTTCCTGTCTTTCCTTCTACATTAATTTTGTGTATTAGTTGTTTGCAATTCTTATTGATATACATTCACCTGCTGTTCATTGTTCTGTGAATAGTCACATGTCACGCAATTGGATACAGGCGTGTGCAGGTCAAAGGTTTCAATTGGTACCCCAGGGTCCCTTTCTGTAATATAGTTGTGCTGCTCTTGATCTGACATAAACAAACTTAATTGTCCGTCTCTGCAGAGCGAAAAGAAGAGCAAACAGATGCTGGCCTCCCTCAAGAAAGCTGACAAAGAATACACAGAGGCAAGCTACAAGGCAGAGTCTGCAAGGCAAGACTGGGACATGACTGTGGCTAAGGTATGGTATAAGCCTATTAACACTTTCCCTACCAAATGCGGCTCGTGGATCTGGTCTCACTGGACCAAAAGCCGCAAAATATGGCTCGAGTGGCTTGCTATCTAATCCAATCCAGTAATGAAAAGACACAAAATTCTAGGCCGATCCATGTTTTCAAAATAATGGAATAGACTTCCTGTTAGCAGATACGAAAGAAAATATAGCACTGAGAGGCGATTTTTTGTCATTTCAGCGCTTTTTTTGTCCCCTTCGAAACGTAAATATGAGGAGAAAAAGCACTAGCCTGACTTCAGTATATGTCTCATATTTTTACGTCTACATTAGGTACACATACATAACTTTCAGCATTTCTTCGCATTACTTGAGGCAACCTACTTGAGAAGTATGAATGATGCTGCTGATGTACTTTTTTAGATATGACCTTTGAAAGCCGGAAAATTGTTGATTTCATATGACACCTTCGATATTGCATAATCACTTTTAGAAACCCCAAAGTAATATAATGAGAATAAATCTTCAATATTGTATCGCCATCTGATAGATTATTTTTTAACCTTCAGTTTGATGAGCCATAAGATATGGTTTGTGTGTGTTTAGTTGGATGTTTTGACATTTTCCTTTGGTGGGGTAGGGGCGTAAAAATAGGTCAGGGAAAAGCCCTGGGCCAGTGGTGGATTTTGGCCTGGTAGGAAAAGAGTTAAATGGTTGATTATTTTTATAAAAAGAATTGGTTCTCATTTCCCTTAGACAATATTTCTCTTGAATAAAACTGCAGTCATATGTTACTTTACGTAGATGGTATTCTTTTTAAATTTCCTATTTGATAAAAGCAGTTCTTGAACTATTACAAAATTGAGCTAAAGTGTTTTCATTCCTTTATTTTTGTATCGTTTACTCATATTTTGGTTGTTAACTCCTTTAATTTCAATGATTCCATAAAATAATAACTCATCACTGTAGAAACTTGTGGCTAATTTTTGCTAGTATGAGCACATTTCCCTTTCAGTGGCTTTTGTGTTCCTTTCACAACTTTGTCTGCCTCCTCAGGCCAGCACATCTATGCAAGAGTTGGAGGAGGAGAGGCTCAAAACTATGCAAGAGTATCTGAACAAATACAACAGTCACGTATCCGTGTTGTCACCAAAACTTACGCAGGTGAGACATCAGAAAGTACCGTGTTTGCAGAAATATTTTAAAATTCTGGAAACATAGGAGGTTCTTCTGCATGCTATGTTATGCCCCTAGATATTTCCTGTTTACCTGCCAATTAAAGGGTAATTTTAAAAAATCACTGTGCTTTTGCTAATTAACATGGGGACTTGAAAATTGGAATATTGCTTTTGAAAATAATAATGATTGCCCTGATGAAATTATAGCTTTGTTATATCGTGACTTTTTCTCTCACAAGTTTTCAAAAATTGATTAAAAAATGGTTTCCCTTTGCCTTTTTTACTCATGCCCTTCCCCTCTACTGCAACCCTAGATCTAGGTTTTGGAGGCTCTGCTAAACCTTACTCTTTTTTACAAATTTCCCCACCCAATTCGTCATAACAGTCTTCGTCTAATTTTATCCGATTTTGGTTTGGGTTTTTTTAATGATAGATAATTGAATGAGCTAAGCGAGAGACGAACAGGTACCGCAAATGGTGCGGTTTTTAACGTGAGAAAAAAATTCAAAAGTGCGAACTGCGAGAGTTGCAGGTGTGGTATCACAACATTGGAGCTACTTTGCCCGCAACAGTTGTGGGTGTGGTAGTGAGTGAGTTAACAATGAAAATTTAGAGTAGAATTTTAAAATGTTTTAACCAGTACAACAACATGTTTCAGCATTTTAACTTATAAAATAAATGTCAAATGACAAAACTGCTATTTTAGTTCCTCTCTGTAATGAGTTGGTTGTAGCCTATTCTTTGTAAAAATATTTCCCTCGTACTTGTTTATCTGTTTTCCTAGCTGCAAATGGATATTTGGTATGTGTGGAGGCAGAATGTACATGAGTCTGATCTGTATGCATATAAAATTGTAGTGCTGTACGTCTATAGGGGACTCATTTTAAAAAATGCAGTGAATTTGCCTGCGAAAAATGAGTTATTGTGAAACCATGTGAGCCTGCCTCAGAAAGAAATACAAGATTTATATGTCACTGTGACTCTTAACTTTTTCTTCCTTGCCCACTGTCCGTGCTCGGCATCTTCAGTACTTTGACCGACTCAACGAAGCTGTGATCACAGTGGATCTCCAGAATGACCTTCGCACTATTGTTCAAGAGAAAGGGATGAAGGGCCCTCGACAGCCTGAGCAGATTCTTCTGGACTGCTATGTATGTTGCATGCTGTTCTCTGTACAGTTTTTCTGTGAATATATAACTATAGACTGTCGCTATGTTTTTTTTAGTTCTCCTAACCTATGTACTTGATTGCCATATGTACAAAGCGTTGTGTGCTGCTAAGTCTCAAATTGTAGCTTAACACTTTGCGGTCACTTGGCGCAATAATGCCCCGGTGAAAATTATCCGTTCCAGTCACTGCACCAGGCCCAAGAAGTTGGTTGAAGTCATTCTCCTGGCTGGGTGACCAGGTGAGGTATTTTGTGCTGCTGGATGTGTGAATGCTAAGTGTTAGCAAGCATGCGAGGGGGTAGGCACCAGGGTACAAGACTATAAAGTCAGGGTGCTTTGGGGCATACCATAAATGCATAGTTTGTTTTTTGGGTCTGTAAGTTTGCTGTGCTTTTTAGGTCAATTATAAAACCCAAACTAGAACAGCGAAATCCTTCTGACCTCTCCAGAAGAGACGAAGTCATTTTTACTCGATTGCGCATCGGACACACGGCCCTGACCCACAAATACCTCCTACAGGGAGATGAGAAGCCGTTCTGTGTCGAATGCGACACAGATTTTACCATTAGACACATCTTAACCGAATGTCTAGACTTTGGAGAGATCCGAAGGAAATATTATAAATGCAAGAAATTGCAAGACATTTTTTCCGTCGTTGTTCCCAGCAGAATATTGAATTTTATGAAGGCCATTGGCCTTTATGGCAAATTGTAAAGTGAAATCGTACTATTTAAAATTTTTATTGTTATTTATACGAGTTGTTTTAAATTGAAAATATAACTACACCGAATTTTAATATTTTAGCATTTTAAAGTCTAATAGTTAACCAATCGTGCAGTGAATTTTTGCGAAAGTAAACAACTTGTGTTTCGCGCGCTCATATGACCATACGCAGTTGCGAGCGCCGTAAAACCCTATACTACTACTACTAGGTCAGTTTTTTACTTGTTTTCAAAATGTGAACACGGACTTTTACTGTTTGTGGAAATGAGGTCTTATAATAGAGGATGATTAGTAACTTGGCTGTTGAAAAACCGGAGAATTTTCGCTTAAAATACTCAGCTGCTAGTCCTGTAACATTCCCAGCAAGGAACGTTAATTGTTGTTATTTACTGTTAACTACAAACAGTCATAGCAACCTGGTCCTTTTGGTCCTTTTCATGGTTTCCTAATGGTAAATAATGTTACAAGCAAGAAAAATGTTGACTTTTCATAGTGTTGGGCACATTTTCTTATTATGTGACTGCTGCCTGCACAGGTCACTGGCTAGCCTCTTTGGCAGTGACACAGTCTATGTAGGACAGTCTATGTAGGTTCCTGTCTCTCACATGTAAAATGCCAGCACTTCTCTGTGGATTTGCTTACATTTTGTTTTATCAGCTTTGGTAATACATATGTAAAATGTAAGCTTTTTGAACCTTCTAAGTGTGCTAACAAATAGCCTGTGGTGTCAAGGAAAATTACATGTTTTCACCATATTATATTGGAAAAATGTTTGGGAACAGGCAAATGAAATAAAAGCAATAAGGTACATTTTCAGAAAGTACAAAGCAAATACAAAGTAGAGCTCATGTGTGAAGGAGCTGGAATGTTTAATGATGAACAAAACAGGATAAACGAACCAAAATGGCAACTCAACGGCAGATTAAATTGGCTGTGACACCACAGAAAAAAACCTTAGAGATGATTAAATGTTCCATTGACACTTGGGATGTTGAACAGTGCATTGATTTACTACGAGCTGTTTGTCTTCATCACTGGGCAGGTCCACAGAATTTCTGATTATATGTTGCTCCATATTTAGTAGACTATTTTAGTTGGTTGTCTGTGGAATATATTTTTGTTGTCAGATTAACGAAGCTGGCTTCTGGATAAGTTAAACACATTTGTTTTGTTGTTTTTTTTGGTTTTCATATGATGCTTGTGTCTTCTTCACAGGCTGAAGATGGGCAGGTGTCTTTGAACAATGAGAGACGCAAAGAAGCACTCAAGAATTATCTCATTCATCTTCATCAGTTCATAGAAAAGGAAAGGAAGGGGAAAGAGGGTAATATGTTCTTTTTTAATTATATAACATAGTTTTTATCTTTCTTAGTGTGGTTATCAAAAGGGAAGAAAATTGATTTTTAATTTAGATGATTGATGGCCATTTTGATGTGGTCTGCTATAGCTCGTTTTTTTTTTCAATGTTAATGTTGTCCTGGTCTGTAATGAAATGTGGCCATTTTTGTGCAGTATTTCATACAACTTGCACTCAATATTTTTAGTACACTCTTTTACTTATTGAAGAGATGTCTTTCGTACCTCTTTGCTCTTGTACATTTTGATAAATGACCTGCTATGATTTCAATATGGCCCTTCAATAGAACTTGTTGAATCATTAATTAATTATTTGTACTTCATAACATCACAACCTCCATTAAACAATAAACTCTTTGAAAGTTACAGTTAAGATATCCTTTCGCTCCTTTTTCTCTATTTTGATTTAAGACAGTAAATTTGAGAAGTGAATTTTTATTTAATATTATGAACTTTTAAAATAAATGACTTTGGTTTTTTTTAAAGGAGTGGAGAAGCTTGTGGAAGTGTACAGAAACAAACCCAGCTTTGCAGATCCAGAAACGCAACAAGATACAAGGCAAAAGCTGGAACAAGTGAGTATAAGAACATTGAATTTGAGAAAAAAAATTATCTTTAACTTTATACCGCAAAGCAAACAGATACTAATACACACGAACAGATTAGGCACTGTCATCATCGTGTATGAACATGTTAAGTTGGCTTGTATATTCCAAACTGTTTTATCCTTAAGGAGTTCCATTAATTTATGTATTCATGAGTTTTTTCAATTTCTATCCATTTACCTCTATACGTTTTATGATAACGTTTCTTGATATATATTATGCTGATCCCTTTCAGACTAATTTTTCCTACTCTGTACCGAAATGCCTCAACCATAGAATTCCTTCTAACACTGATAAAATGTACATATGCTCAAGACCCTCACGTTAGGGAAATCTTTTAAGTGTGTAAATTTCACTTTTCATATTTAGAATACTTTCTTTTCTATCTTTAAGTAAATCTAAGCAGTCATTATCTTTTCATTCTGATAAGATAAAAATGAAAGAACTGTATTCTCCAAGTGGAAAGTTGTTTTCATATTTCTAGACAATTTCAACCAAAGACAAGTGCATCTACAACTCTAATAATAAACCTCTCACATTTTGTGTTGTCAGTCAAGCATGCCATGCCAACTATGGTTCCTGTTGGATTCTATTTCCTTCACATTTTTTCTACAGACGACCTTCATGCTCAACTTCCTGGAAGCCAGTCATTTCAAAGTCAATAGCTACCTTTGCAAAACGGAAGGGAAGTCCGTGCCGAGTAGTATGTTTGCCCAGTACATAGAGACTGTTCGAGACAAGCAGGTAAAATATAAACCTTTTTTGGATCCCCTTTTAACAGTCACCAGCCGCTATGGTTAACAGTTATTTTTGCTTTTATTACACATTATCGTAAAATCCCACATCATTTTGAAGACTCGGTTTCATTGGTTGAGTGTGTATGTGCCTTATTTTACCATTAAGTTTTAAATGTTCACTTTGCAATTTCATGAGATGGGAAATTTTAAGACTTATCATTATGTTTTCTTAGACAGTTGTATGTTCTCAGGCTTTTCAATTTTTGGAAATTCAGCAAAAGCAGCCGTTCAGTCTGAAATGAGACACTTTAGTAAGATAGTCAATGCAGATTGTTTTTCTTTGTGTTTTTTTTTCTTCACGTTCTTCTTGCATTATTTGACGTAGTTAACCTTATATGTCATTTTTTTATCAGCATTCATTCTTTTATCTGAGGAAGAAAAGGAACTGCACTTACATGTTTGCCTCTGTGATAATTTACAAATAGTACTAGCATGCTTTGTGAGTTTGAATAGTAAGGTATAAATGCTGTGAACAATCTACAAGGAATACCCCTCAAGTTAAGCTACTGCTTGTTTCGCCTTTCAGAATTATCTCGTGAGCACTCTGCGTCTGCCCTTAAACTTGGCCTTGGAAGGCAACTCTGACTACATGTCCCAGAACCTACCCAATGATTACTACCAGGAGCTCAACTCGCCTGATGATGATTTTAGTAAGACTCTCTCTCTCTCTCTGTTCGCACAATAATTTAGTTGATATAAATACGAGTATGGCAAAGGCAACTGAAATTACTCATCTGTGTAAACTTAACATGTTTTTTTTCTGGTCATCAGTTGGATAGAAGTGTTCTAAACACCTTTTTTTCCTGCGCAGATTATATTTTTTTCACTGAGGACTAATACATTTTTTCTTTTGTGAACTGTGTTGTGTAAAACTTTGTTTCCGCACTTCTTGTGCTTCATATTTATTTTCTATTTTATGTTTTTGCTTTTATGCTTTAGCTACCTGGGGGGGTTCAGTTCTTACACATAGTATGCTTGAGTCTATCAAAATTGTTATAGTAACTCTTATTTCAACACCAGGAGACACATGAGTCGGATACTTAACGAAGTGCAGATTGTCTTTTCTTTTCATAATTGACGAAACAAACTTTTCTGCATTTACCTTGTCTAATAAGTCACATTGGAGCCCAGTACACTATAAAAGTTATCCCTTAAAGTGAAAGAACAATGTCTATGAAATGACTCAAAACCTACTTCTATTTTTAATTGGCCTATATATTTTTCAGTTTTTTTTATGACTTGAGCTAACTCTTGTGTTATATCCAAGATGGAAGGTGTCATTGGTACTTCTAACAGAAATGATTTCAGTGCTGTTTGTGATTCCTGGAGTTTGAAGATTCCAGTTACTGTGAGTTGTTTGTTGCTGATGGCAGTATTTGTCTCTAGATTTGCAGGAAGCTGAAAATAATGAAAATTGACATGTTTCTTACACAGGTGATGATGATTTCCCCTCTCCCACTGTAATTGGTCATTGTCGAGCCATCTATGATTACGATGCAAGCCAATCAGATGAGCTAAGTATAAAGACAGGTGAGTTGTCAGTTTTATGCCAGTGAGTTTTCTCGCTGTGGTCTGTGTACAGTAGTGAGGATTGAAGATAGAGAGTTGCTATTTCTGATTTGAAATCTGAAGGTAAAACGATTGAAGTCAGGAGCTGATGTGTCTTATCAATAGCAGAAAATGTCTGAGCCTTCAGTTTTGCAAAATGCTTCCATCTCATGAAAGGTAGACTAAAGTGAAAACATGATAATGCCTGTATAATGGGATGCTCCAACAGAAGCAAAGCCCCTCAAAAAGGTCCTGAATTTATTTTTTTTATCAAAGGGAATTGAATGTTGTACTGAATTGTGGCAATGTGTATCTTGTTTATTCAAGCAAGATTATATGGAAGTCCAGAACTTTTGTCATGAGATGCACATAATGGTAGGCAGCTACACACATCAGTTGTTTAATATTGGTAGCTCTATTCATTGCATATGAAAATGTGGCAACTGTGTTTTTATTGGATTATTACAATATATTATATACCTAACAAAATGTTCATTTTCATGTCTATAATATACCGATAGATCTTGGACAATAGAGAGAGATTAGATATATATCATAGACAAGGGATGGAAGGAATTGTTCTGAAAAGTGTAAATAAATATTGCAGTCCCGACTATACACACTCCTCTACATCTCTGTCTTTGTTGAATCCCCCAGGTGATGTGATTGGAATATATGAGAAACTGGGAGACGGCTGGTGGGAGGGGGAACTTCATGGTGTTCGTGGCATCTTTCCCTCTACTTATGTACAAGAGACATAGAGAGCAGACGCTGGACATTTTATTTGTTTTCTGTTACACAAGAGGACAAGAGGAGTTACATTGCATTGACTCAACATTGTGAGTGATTCTGGTATCTGAACAAGAGAGATGGAAATATTTGTGCATTCAAAAGTTTTGGCGGAATTGACTGTGACTTGAATAACTACTGCAGCCATCGGTGTTCCAAGCGGATTGTACTGGACAGAATTGTTTGTGCATGCTCACAGTGATTGGTGGATCGTGCAAGACTGTGTGTTGAGGACATTTACGTGCATTGGGAGGAGTTTGTTGAGGATACAAGCTTAATGACTGTTGACTGTTGAATTGTTGTGGAAAGGTGTAAATATAGATTCCTTATAGAGTGTAATTTTCTCCAGAAAGCACACGTTTTAGTGTAACTCACTCTTCTCCACATATTATTAGATTTGTTGATTCCTCACTTGCTGTTAGTCTTTCAGACATGGCTGTTTGGAGTTGGCAGCTTGTACCTACCGCCTTCAAAGTCCTCCAAGAATATATTGTCTTGGCACAGCATAAATCAAATATTTCTAGTTACAATACAGCATTGCTCTTCATTCTCTTAAACAATAAAAAAAATTGTATATTTTAAATCTTAACACATTACTCCCCAGCTCGCCTGGGATCACACATTAATTTCTCTATGCTCCACCCTAACACACCGGAATCAGTCACTCAGACAAGGCATCTTTAGAAAGGAAGTCTTGCTTTGACGAGACTCTGGTGCTGAGATTTAATTTCATATAGTTATTGCTTTGCAAAATGTTTTTTCTTCCCTTTGGTACTGTACCATTGTAAAATGTTTTTTCTTTCGTTTGGTACCGAAGCAAAATTTTTCGGTCCAGTACTCTCTAAAGGTGGCTGGAAAAGGTGAAAAGCAATGCAGTTGAGCTGGTATAAAAAAATAGAGATGTATATGAGCCTGAACAAGCAAGTGATGAATCAAATGAATCAGATATAGATGAAAACATAGTAGCAGGAAGGGGGGGGGGGGATTCAGATTAATCAGATGCAGAATCTAGATTTAGAGCCCAGCACAAGTCTGATAGTGAGAACAGCTGGGTGGACACCCTGTTTGAAGTAAACCTGGAACATTTCAAAGAACCTGTGCATATGAAGTTGTATTTTTCTGAAACTACATTCATTTCTCTTCCTCCTTTTTTTCAGAATTTTGGGAATTCGTTTTTGCATTTTTGAAATATTCTTTAAAATACTAGTTTTCATGGATGGTGAGTTACCTGGACTTGCTAGGATTCGGGAATACACGGAGGGCTTCTTGGCTGTATTATGTAATTAAAAGGACCAGACATTAGATCTTTTTTTTCCTTTTACACAATATTTTTTTTCTTTCAAGTCAAAACCTTTGCTATGTTATCATTAAGATGGGAATGAACGAATTTTCTTCAGTTACCACAAAAGCAAGATGGTAATACAGATGTTTGCAACAAATTTAAATGCCAGATTCTGGAAACAGAAAACATTCGCCATTACGTATTAAGAGACACTTTTTTACTGATTGAGATTAAGATGCATATTATCCAAGTGGTTTGCTTTCTATTTGTTTGGGCATATAGAAGAACCATGTGCACCTGTTCTGTTATCTTGTTTGTTGATTTATGTTGCTGCTTATTTTGTTTTGTTTTGTTTTTTCTTTAAGACCGCAAGGCTTTGGATGCTGACAAAGCCAGTACATTACGCAGAAGCACAATATTGCCTGGTAATTCTGAATTTGCTTAATGTTTACCTCGTGTGGATTCTTTTGTAGTTACACTTGTAGCTCTTTTCTTTATGCTTATTTGTCTCTTTTTGAAATGTGACACAGAGACAAAGAAAATTTTTGTTGTATTTACTCTTTATTCTTTATTTTTGTGGTCTCGTTTCCAGGAGCGAGTTTGCTCATGGAATAGATTTGATGAATCAAAGTTCAACTTTTGTGTTGTTCCGTGGGTTACTTTTTTGGTCAAATAGAATTTAATTTAATTACATTGCTCAGGTCAGAAATAGGATCTGTAGAGTAATTTAGGGAATAATGATATGGGGACAGAAAAATGACATTTTCCCTGATTTAAAATTGTGAGTTAACCATCGTGAGTGTTTGCTTTGATCAAAATTGTATTCTATAACAAGATCAACGAATGATTTATATTTGCTATTTAACACATATGTGATTGAGTGACATTTGTGTCACAATGCAGTGGAATCAGGTGCTCGTCAATTTATGGAATAGCTTGTTCATCGGTGTTGATTTTGATTTTGATTACCTATCTACCTCGAATAGAAGTTGATATGTTTGTCATTAAAGGAGATGGGAGTCACCCGATGTCAGAGGTAAAATCAGCGAGATGATGGCTGCCCAAGTTTGGTGAAATCCAAAGCTTGAGTGTCCTGTAAATTTACCTTTTTGTAGCCTTTGATTAACATTTTTCTGTGTGCTCCGCACATAGATGTGTTTTTGAATAGACATAAAAAATGCCGAGTCCAAAAATAAATCTTTATCGAAATTTCCCAATAGGCGGAAAAATGTCAGTTTCTTCGATTTCATTTTTTTAACGAATGCCTGATTTCACCACGATTCCACACATTTGTGTTTCTTCTTTTGTTAGTTCATTTTTGAGAAAATTGAAGTAGTATTGTTTTTGCTAGTTTTGTTCTTATTATTATGTGTAATTTTAGAACGGTAACCTCTTGCATAAGACAGTTTTAGTTCTGTTAATGAAAGCATAATTAAATGTTGTAACTGCTCTAGACATAGAAATTGCTATGAAAAAATCACATGTTACCGACTAGATTGCTTTACTTTGTACAGAGACAGCATTTATGTAGTATTCATGATAGCAACCAACTGTGTTTAAATACTGTGCTACCTTGTTGTAATGCCTTCGAAAACCACATAAGGAAGACAGATGCCAATTGCAAGTTATTAGTCCTTATGTTTATTACTCTAGTGCACTCAATTCTGAACATTTATATTGAAATACTTCAAGTAGGGTGTAAGAAGTGCATATAATTGATGAAAAGTGATGTCATAAGAGCTCAGCATAATAGATAATATGTGTCCATAGTGTTGTGTAGGGCATTGGTTCATTAAAATTTGTGAATGGAGAAACCTTGTTAAAGGTTTTGTTACCAGCATCATGTTTGTATTGGCAAATTTTAGGAAAGCTTTCTTTCGATCAGATTGCTTTGTCTTTTTGAAGAAACTGAGAAACATGTATTTGATATATTGATTCTTAGATGTACAGAATCTGAACTTCTTTTCATCTCTCCTTCCTCATCTCCCCCCACCCTACCTCTCTTCTCATGAAAGCTTTGTGATATAGGATGATGCACAATTCATTCTCCTTTTACCATATGTTTCTTTTCTATTCTCAGTTCATAGATCTATCTGGTGACTGAAGAGAATTTATTTTTTTCCAAATATTTATATTTGCAATGGCAATGAGAGTATATTTGTGGCAAGATTTATTATGAAGAGAATCTCACACTTGGGGGGGGGGATCTGTAAGTTACTAGTTTGGATGAAATTTTAGCCTTACTGATGTTTGGAAAAACTTCTTCATGTTGAGTATTGATCAAATATTTATTCTTGAAAGCCCTAACACTTGATGTCAATGGACTTAACAGCTGACTACTTATGACCATAGAAATAGTGATTGTGAATTACCATTCAGTGGATGGTTTGTATTTTCTTTGTATAGTAGTATAGTATAAGGTTTTACGGCGCTCGCAACTGCTAAGGTCATATGAGTGCGCGTATTTTCTTTATATATATGTATATATATATATATTATCTAGAGAATTGCTGAGAATAGTCTCTTATTCTGAAATATGCAAGTAAAGTCAAATTTTTTTTAGGCAGATTTTTATTAAAAATAAAGGAAACCTGTTTTCCTGCTTTCATTTCATTTAGGACTTTCTTGTAATTAGTATCCAACATACACTGCAGAAAATTTCAACAAACTTCTATTTGATGTGGTTTGATACATTTTAGGGTGGCTGGATCTTCCTACATGGAGGGGCAGATGCTACCATTTTGGCTCAATTTGATTGATCATCCAAAATGAAACATGTTTGATTTATTTAGTCGCAGTCAGTTAAATTTTATGAAAATCATTGCCAACCGTCAATCAGAAGGTCACTACATGTCACACGACTTTGCAGGATGAGATCTTTTGTTTTGGGTGAGGAATGTGATAGGCTCTAATGGACTTCCAGGTCAAATTTGATAAAACAAAGCTGGGGTCAATTCGTATATAGAGTGCACTGGGCAGGGCTATTGCCAGATTTAATCAGATCATGCTGATCAGGTTTATCTGACCAGTTGGTATCTTTTCTTACACTATAAAAAAAATATCAGCTTGTTCATGCTTAAGTGTTGTCATGGGATGGAAATAGATCAGGCCACAGCATGTACTTTTGTATTTTTGAACAGAATACAATGACCACTTTCTTTAACTTTGTGAGTAAGTTTTGCTTTCATACTCTCTACCTCCACTGTATGCAATTTCTCTTTGTTGATTAATATTCTTATTTCCAACTGATTTCCCTGTGACATTGCCACAACTTTTACAACAGTGATCTGCATCAATCTTTAACCAAGCTGCGTATTGCCATCTATTTGTATATCTTGCACACTTTTAAAATCATGCTTTGTGATAGTGGACCATTATTGAGAAATTTTCTATTATATTCTGCTTGAGTTTGATATTTCCGTGGTTGTGGAGAAAAATACCCACCAACATCTCTGTTTCTAGTGACAGTTGGATAATGCCAAATTGTGGGGAATACAGAAGTGTATGCCTTTGTCAGAAATTAGAGGGGAAAGGCATGTTGAGGAATTTGAAACTGAAAAACTTTTAGTAATATGAGCTCTGTGCAATTACAGAGCTTCATAATTTTCTAAATCTCATGCTCTTGTTGACAAGTGAGTACATGTATTTGTAACTCTTTTCTTAAACTGTATACAGTCGAACCTGCCATGACAGCCACCTCTATAAGACGGCCATCTGTCTTATACGACCACTTTTCTCCTTGACAATGGGTGGCCATCTTACACAGGTTCAACTGTATATTTTATAACCTTCTTCTGAAGGAACACTTTTATTACTTTTTCAGTACTTTGTTTAACATACTACAGATTAAGTCACAACATAAAGACAACTACACTGAGCTATCTGTGCTTCAAAAACAGGCAAATCTTTGGTTTGGGTTCGTAAGGGTTCATCAGATAACTGACACATGTGCTTGCAACTTTCAATCAAAGTCAAGTTCCACATCCTCATAATTTTGAATGTATTTCAAACAAATTTCAGTTATTTGAAAATTAGCTGCCGTCAGTTGTATGCATTATTACTCTGATTTTTCTTAAATTCCAACTTGTTTTTGTTTTGAGATAAACAAATTAAACTTAATTTTCTCCTTTGAACAAATAATGCATTTTATATAAACCCTGTCTTATTTATGGATGAAAAAAAAAAAACAGGCAAAAATTGGAAGCATGCAGTCTGTATGTTTAACTGGCATTAGATCTCTTATTATTAGTTTTCTTTGCTTATTGACTCCGAAACTTTTTTGTTACAGGGTTACTAGATGCACTGTTTTCTAGCATCTCAGGCTAGTCTTTTCTTTTCCACTTTTTAAAAAATGTCTGTTGACAGTCTTTGTCCTGAGTTTGTTCTCAAGTTATTTGTTGTAAGAAAGTGTTTATTATGCAGCTTAAGATTATGGCCTACGTATGTTCGCCTTTCTACTAGTATTACTTTTGCTTACCGTAGCTCAATATGTACAGATATGGTTAGTTTCGAAATCATTTTACATTTACCCCCACCCCTCTCCTCTTTCTCACTCTATGAAATGGTTGCAATAATAGGCTTCAGCCTGTGATATATGTATGACATTCTGGTTCCTATAATATGCATGACTGTGTGAGATTGCTCTATATATGATCTCTTTCACAAAAATCTGTGAATTAATAACTCCTGTATTGTTTGCTCAACCTGTAAAACAGGTTAAATTAGAGCTGAACATCTGTCTTGGGACATCAACAATGAGTTCATTTATCTATGCCCATTGTAATGTCCTCTAACCTTTTGAGCCCTGACCTCCCGAACGATTCACGCCATATATTTGAGGAAATCACCTATATTTGTGATGCAGCGTGGTGGAATCAGGCTCTCGTCTATTTTTGGGCATATTGAGTTATTGGTATCATCTTAAAGCTTGTTCATTTGTCTTGCTTTCTATGAAAAAATTACCGGCCCATATTCAATAGAAGTGGAGATATTTTGGATTGAAGGAAGTGGGGGTCACCTGGTTTAAGAGGTAAAATTAGGGAGAAAATGGCAGCCAAAGCTATGTAAATTCCAAAGCTGGAGAGTCCATGGAAACTAAAAATTTATATTTTTGTGTCTTTAATCAACGTTTTCGGTGAAGTCCTCAAAGGAATGTGTTTGTAAATGGACATTAAAGGTGTTGAGCCAAAAAACAAAAATTTGATAAAAATTGCTAAGCAGGGAGAAAACTGCTGTTTTCTTCGATTTCATTATTTTGACGAGAGCCTGATTTCACCACGCTGCCTCACATTTGATGAAATCGTTTTATTTTTCACCACACTGCATGCTCACAACTTCCACATGTGTGCAGACATCTTGGCAAGACCTTAGACGAAGTGAATGCTGCGCAGTTTTGATTGACCAACAAATACATCCTTTAAACATCCCATAATGAAACGCGGCCTCACTTGCTGATGCACCAGTGGTTAGCCGCCCGCGCCGTTTTACTTGCCTCCGGTGTAGAGATGGCTAGGGCTCAGAGGGTTAAGGTTCATAACAGTATTTCTTGTCGTTGATATATTGAGAGTGCATGAGAGGATGATTTACTTTTGTTATTGTGAAGACTTCTGATACAGTTCTGAGAGTGCTATTTT